TACTGTTACATATATATACTCCTGCACTTGCTTGTTTAGCCTTTTATATATACGTGTGCTCCTGCATGTGAACTGGCCTTCTGGCCTTGAACTTGTACTCGGAATGTGTGGTGACTTTGTGATCCACCCTGAGCTTTGCTTTGTTCTGCTTGACTGGTCTTGTGACCCCTTGTTCTCCCCCACTTTGCCTATGGGGGTGTGTCGAATCATAATGTTCTGTAGGCTGTAGTGGGGTAGCCTATATGGGGTACACATTTCTAGGGTTGCATATTTGTACCACATTCCATTCCTTAGTGCACTCATTCTCGTTTCAATTCTCACAGTTAATACTTCAGTTCTGCAATTTCCTGTCTTTGACAGAGCCCTAGTTGGCATTAAAAGGGTGTATCGCCTTCGACAACATTTCAAATTCGCGGCAAATATTTTTTCTTCGACGAAAACTCAAATGTGATGTTCGACAAGAGGTGCTCCCGGGATGTTCGACAGTATTTAGGGATTCCGCTAAACGTCTCGACAAAGCACATTGAAAAACTTTGCTCCTACACTTTCACATTTTTTTTAAAACAGTACTGCAATACTTTCTGTCGAACAAGGAAACTCATTCGATAAGGTTCCGATTTCACAGTCGGGAAAACAAAATTTCTGAGACGTTGTTCGATAAAATTGATTATCAACAGCAGAAGCCGTTTCTAGATTTTGGCAAGTCAGCATCTGCATTCGACGCGGAAATTGTCGCGCTGCGCATTATCCCCATTTGTCAAAACGAAAGATTTCGACACACAGAGCAAAGCGGTCGAGAATTTTATTTCACTCGACCAAGCATATCTATCGCCGCTAGCACCCTGTTTCACTTCTCTTTGTAGCATCGAGACTCAGAATCACATAACTAATCAACAATGCTCGAGTTTTACTATACGTTAATACATATCATGAACGTGGACAATCGACACAAGCAATGTTATTGTTGTAGTAGAGTTTGGCAGCTGCATTTTATTACCCCGTCGAATAGACCATATTTGTCTATGTAATAAATACAGAAAAAGCATCATATTCAACAAACTATAGCTTTCCAAATTGTATGATTTTTACACTACCTGAAAAGGTTGGTAATTCACCTATGGCAATGATTCGTTTTCAAACTCTCTTCGACAACACTTCGTTTTATGTCGACGATGGGACGGACGACGACAAAAATGCTATCGCAGGCTCTGCTCGACGGGATCCAGTCGACGACACCGGCGTGCATTGCTAATGCACATTAGTGGTCGACGAAACCCTTCGATGGGCACTGCTCGGCGTGCTGTGCTCGACGAGCTGGTCTTGGCGAATGTTGTTCGACCAAGCAGCGTCGAGCTGGTCGGTGAAAGTAACGCCTGACCCCTCGTCTTCGTACTCGGTTGAGTCGGTCCCTGCAGCGTGCTAGAAAGGCTGGCCCCGGTGGTACAAGAATGATTTCTCATTAAGTTCATATTCACTTGCTCTACGGCGCACGGGTAGCGAAACCGTCGACAGGTGTTCTACCTGGCACCTGCGCATGAATAAGAGTTAGATTGATGATATACGCATTAATGATAATTGTAGGGAATGCCCCCTTTTTTTGTGCCTCCTATTCCTTATCAAGTTTGCCCATTGCAGTTTATGTATTTATTTGTTTAGGTATACGCTTTTATTTCAGTGTCAGCTGTTCTGTGGCGCGTTCTGCCACGCTTTTCTCTGCACCACTTTCCGTCGGGTCGAGACGGAATCCGTCGACGGAGGCGGATTTACTCGACGAACAGGGGGGTTGGTGCAGGCGGGGTTGGTGCAGACCGGGGGGAGCACGTGGGGTCAACGCCAGCTCGAGCGAGGACCACCTCGCGTCACTCCGAGCTGGCGTGGCTCGTTTCGGGCGGGCGGGTGGGCTGGCTCCCGCCCCTCGCGTGCCCCGCCACGCGACAGAGGGAAAACGAAAATCCCTCCGAGGAAAACCCGCAGGGGCGAAAGGGGGTCCTCGGAGGGATTCGGTCGACGTCTTCCCTTAGCTAATAGCTCTTTTAATCACTATCTTGAAACCTTTCTTTCTTGAATCGTTGCCCGTGTTTGGCCTCCCGCCTGCCTGGAGCCTTCCAGATGTCCCGAGCCGATGCAGTACACCGGCAGTTGCAACACGCCGTAACAGTTCAAAACAACCATCTTGGTCAGTTCTCTCTGCATGAGACATGTGTGGGAGTGAAAGTGATGTCTTTCTGCTTCCACCAACCACCGACAACGATGACGAGGCTATTCAAAATTCAAAAGATCTTTCCATATCGTCATGGTCGCACATGACTCGTTTGGAAGGGGGCAGGCCGCGCTGCCTGGAGTTGAGCTGAACCACAAATTTGCCAATTCCGGCACGTGCTTTTTTCTGCAATCATGGGAGCTCTGGTCAGCAAACTTGGATTGGGCGTTTGGACTGTTTCGGCGAAAAGGAGCTGTCCAGCCGTACAGATCCATCATACATGTCAAGCACGCGTATCATCAGCTCAGTAGTACAGTACAGTACGGTACTTCGTATGTGCCCATTTTGAAGATGCCAACGAGCCTCAGCCGAATTCATGCTGTGCATCAGCTTTTTGCCAACCGCTCGCAGTAGTGCCACTGCTTTGTACATAGCTTACCTTGTCTTTTGATAAGTTGCCACTTTCAGAGACTGTCTCTGTCCCATCAGAGTGGCAGTTCCTGGGAACTCAGCATCTAGCATCAACCACAGGGTGGTTTGGACCCAGGCAGAAAACCTTTCCGCGCAATAGACCAACCATGGCAACCTCTTACTACAGAATCAATGCCAGCAGCAGCAGGAGCAGGAGCAGCAGCATCAGCAGGAGTTCCCCCAGCGCTACAGGCAGCAGAGGTATCCGCATTCCCATCCCCATGGGCATCCTCCGAGTCGCCATGATCATCGCCCTCGCCGTGGTTTCGCCAGTTCCCCTCCCTCAGACCCATGCTGCCAGAGTCCAAAGCGCTCAATGTAAGACGCTCCGTGACTGTCATTTGCCACCGCCTGGCCGACCTATCACTGATAGGAGGGAGTGGCACTCCCTCCGTTGATATAATACTAGTAGTACTATTACTGCTGTGACTAGACAAGTCAACTCGAAAGAAGCACTTCCTTTTTCTGCCCTCTCCCTTTCCTCAGAATCTTGAAAAAACGCGGCCCAGTGGTCTCCTTCACTTCACTCCTTCAACCTCATCACGCCCCGCGCATGATGCGGCGTGCTGTGTCTGAATCTTCTGCTACAACCTCTAAACTCTCAAGCATCTGCTACTTTCAACCTTTACTGGTTGACTCGTTCAACACCGCCATTGGTGATGCTGCTGACATGCCCCCTCTTCCAGCCACACCCACCTTCACCCTATGCCACCTCCCCCTTTCTCCCACGTTCTCCAGGAAACGGTGCCGCTCCTCGCAGTACGCATCTTTCTCGCACTTGACTGCATAACGAGAGCACCACTGCGCCGTCCCGTGCCGGTGTCCGTCTTCCCATACCAGGGCGAGTCTTTCGTGACGATGAGTGGCCGGAGCGTGCTCCCCTCAACCTTTAATTGCGTCTTTGCGACGGCATCTTTCACATGCAAGTTTAGGTCATTGAGAAGACAAAATGTGAGTGGGGGGGTGAGTCACCTGCATCCTCTACTGTGCTACAGACTGAATGAAGAGATTTTCTCATACATGATGTTGCACTCCCTACTCCCTTTTCAGCATGATGTTGCACTCCCTACTCCCACGCCAGGCTCGGACTATTGGAAGTGGACACTGGAATGGCCCGAAGCGGTTTCCTGGGAGGGTATGGGTGCGCTTACCCACCAAGGAAACATGCCTTTTTATCCCTGTTGGTTAGCGAACTGGAGCTATCCCTGCATGGACCTGCAGGAGCTGACGAGTGGGACATGACTTTGTTGCCCTTTACTGTAACTGCGACCTTACGAGGGACATATCTGTCATGCAAATTTATCAACGTCCCTTGTTTCACGCCAGGCTCGGTCCTCTAGGAGCTGAAGCAGGAGTGGGGTGCGTTCGATGGCAGTGCGACGTGGTTCGCTAGCAACGATTGTGGCAACATTGTGGGCGTCGGCTGCTCTGGCTTTGGCGATGTCGTTACCTTGTGAGTCAAGCCATTGACTTATTCAAGGAGTTGAATCATCAAAGAGATGTCGCATGGATGGGTCTTGCAATCTTCTCATAGGCATTGGGTCCCAATGGTTATACTCTCCTCTCTGGGGGGGTAGCAACTTAGGATCATACTCTCCTCTCTGGTGCACCTAGTCCTCTTTCTCTGTCGCATCACCATCTACAAATGTAACAGAAAAATGATATCGCCGCATACAGTTCTCCCCCTTGCTTGCTTGTTTTCCTGTTCCCCTTTCAGATCCTGAGCATGTCACCACTTATCTTTCCGCACATTCGTGTCATTCCATGCAAAGCCACCATTCTCCCTATTACATCATGCCTGTTGAATGTTCATTTACCCCACTTTGCCTCATGCAGGGGCTTCCATAGAGGGATTCCAATGTTCTTGGCACTGTGACTTCTGTGTGCCACTGAAACATGTACAACTGGCCCCATGTGCCTCGTGCAGGGACCTGTACAACAGGGGTCTCACGAGCAGCATACCGACCAGCATTGGCACCCTCCCTGAACTGGTCTTGCTGTGAGTTCCAGGCCTTCAATGTGTTGTGCTGCTGCCAAGCGTGCATGTGTAGGCATGGCATTGGGTGCATCGTTGGGTGTACGACTCACTTGCTAACCCACTCCAACCTCCGACCCCCTCTTGCCCTCACCAGCCCCCTCTCTGCCCTCTCTGCACTCTCTTTCCCCCCTTCCCTCTCCTCTCCCCCACCCTCTATCCCCCGTTCAGGACCCTGGAAAAGAATTTTCTCACAGGCCCCCTCCCATTGTCCTTCGTCAATCCTGCTGTTCTGAATGAGATGTGAGGAGTGGGCGAGGGTTTGGGGCAAGGGCTTGGGGTGAGGTTCACGTTATGGTTTTGAAATTTTTCAAAAACAAGCTCATATGAATGAGATGTGAGGAGGGGGTGAGGGCTTGGGGTGAGGCTCACGTTAGGTTGCGGCTATATTGGCAGTCGGTTTGAGGCTGGATGGTAAGAGGTGGGGGTCTGATAGGGGGGAACGCACTAAACAGATAGCATAGAGCACTGTGTACAGATCAGTGTGCAAGGAGCAGAGTGCACCGAGCAGCATTCCCTTCTTTTTATCCGCACCTACCAAAGCAGCGCCTCCCCTTCCTTCCAAACATCTCCCCTGCGCATCCCCCCCCCCCCCCCCCCCCCCCCCCCCTCCTGCAATCAGAAACTTGAGTGGCAACCAGCTGACAGGAACGTTGTCAAGTCAAATCAGCCAAATGACAGAGCTCCTGTACTTGTGAGTTGTGCTTGCTGCATCTACAGATTTGACTCGAAATCCAATTCTGGTACAGTTCTTGTTCTCCTAGTTGTGTTTCTGACATAGCATCAGATCAATTTGCGTTCAATCCTCAATTTCGCAATTGCAATTTGTATTCATTGGTCATCTCTCATTCTATGGGATTGTGCTCATAGAGCCACTAGGATGACCCAGAGATTCTGGAAGGGAAACAAGTTTTGACCTTGGTGCACTGACACACCAGTTTAACATTTTTTTTTTACCCTGTCAATTAGCAAACTGGTGTCTCTAACCTTGTGCAATTCAAGCGTCTTGCATTCTCACTGAACATGGTTTCCCAGGATTTCCTCTGGAGTCTTTTCAATGTTTGTCTATCTTCATTAAGTGGTGTCATTCAGTACTGCTAATCCGGACACCGATGCCACTCTTGTTGTACCGTGCATGAAATGCACACATACGCCGATGCCCTGCGCTGCCTCTTTGCCTCCCTGCCTCCCTGCCTCTCAGGTCCGTGGACAGCTACCTCCTTTCAGGCACCATACCTGAACTGAGCACACTCACCAAACTCAACCGCCTGTGAGCTCACCTCCACGCTACTACTACACCCTGCTCTGCACTCTGCCATGTCAATCGTGTCACACTGTGCGCCAAGTCACGCCATGTCATGGCACGCCACGCATGCCATGTCCTTGCATGCCATGTTTTGTTATGCCTGTCGTAACATGCCACCCCATGCCATGCCATGCCACGCCACGAAATGCCACGTCGCGTCACGCCGCGCCATGCCATGTTATGCCATGCCATGCCACGAAATGACTTGTCACACCACCACGCCATGCAATGTCTACTGCATATGCTACACAGCAGCTCTTCTTTGCCACTCCCTACCCCTTGTCTCCATCTACCGCGCACCTCTTCACCCGCTCATCCCCTGTTGCTGCCTCCTTCTTCAGCATAAGAAGCCTCTTTAGACTTTAGAAACCAGAGCTTTGAATTTTGAGTTGAATCAAATTGCACTCCACCCCGTCCCCCTCAGAATCAAATCGGCCGCCTTTCCGTGCTCCAACTACCAATGCTCCCAATACGAATCGGCTACTCACCCGTGCAGTGTGCGCCCCCAAGCAGATTTGTTGCTGTGTGATGACTCAAAGGCAGAATTATCTTCCTCTCCCTCCTTCCCTCCCTTCCTCCCCCCTTCCCTCCCTCCTTCCCTCCCTCCCCCCCTCACACCCACTGTTGTCCCCCCTCACAACCGATTCTCAGGGACCATTCCTTGGGAATTAGCAAACATCAAAACGTTGCAGTACATGTAAGCTATCCCCACTGCACTCCCATCACCCCCACTGCACTCCCATCACCCCCACTGCACTCCCATCACCCCCACTGCACTCCCATCACCCCCACTGCACTCCCATCACCCGCACTGCACTCCCATCACCCACACTGCACTCCCATCATCCCCACTGCACTCCCATCATCCCCACTGCACTCCCATCATCCCCACTGCACTCCCATCCTCCCCACTGCACTCCCATCATCCCCACTGCACTCCCATCACCCCCACTGCACTCCCATCACCCCCACTGCACTCCCATCACCCGCACTGCACTCCCATCACCCACACTGCACTCCCATCATCCCCACTGCACTCCCATCATCCCCACTGCACTCCATCATCCCCACTCATCCCCACTGCACTCCCATCATCCCCACTGCACTCCCATCATCCCCACTGCACTCCCATCATCCCCACTGCACTCCCATCATCCCCACTGCACTCCCATCATCCCCACTGCACTCCCATCATCCCCACTGCACTCCCATCACCCCCACTGCACTCCCATCATCCCCACTGCACTCCCATCATCCCCACTGCACTCCCATCATCCCCACTGCACTCCCATCGTCCCCACTGCACTCCCATCATCCCCACTGCACTCCCATCATCCCCACTGCACTCCCATCATCCCCACTGCACTCCCATCATCCCCACTGCACTCCCATCATCCCCACTGCACTCCCATCATCCCCACTGCACTCCCATCATCCCCACTGCACTCCCATCATCCCCACTGCACTCCCATCATCCCCAATGCACTCCCATAATCCCCACTGCACTCCCATCATCCCCACTGCACTCCCATCATCCCCACTACACTCCCATCACCCCCACTGTACTCCCATCATCCCCACTGCACTCCCATCATCCCCACTGCACTCCCATCATCCCCACTGCACTCCCATCATCCCCACTGCACTCCCATCATCCCCACTGCACTCCCATCATCCCCACTGCACTCCCATCATCCCCACTGCACTCCCATCATCCCCACTGCACTCCCATCATCCCCAATGCACTCCCATAATCCCCACTGCACTCCCATCATCCCCACTGCACTCCCATCATCCCCACTGCACTCCCATCACCCCCACTGCACTCCCATCATCCCCACTGCACTCCCATCATCCCCACTGCACTCCCATCATCCCCGCTGCACTCCCATCATCCCCGCTGCACTCCCATCATCCCCACTGCACTCCCATCATCCCCACTGCACTCCCATCATCCCCACTGCACTCCCATCATCCCCACTGCACTCCCATCATCCCCACTGCACTCCCATCATCCCCACTGCACTCCCATCACCCCCGCTGCAACATGCCCAAGTCACCGCCCATCCCCATCTCCTCTTCCCTCCATCTACCTCCCTTCATATCCTGTAACGCCCACGCTTCTGGGTTGCACCCCCACCTACCGAGCCTGTACGTTGTCAGTCACACCATGAGTTGCATCCATCCGTATGTAGTAAAGCTGCTCTCTCCGTCGCTTGTCCATGCGTCAATGCAGGTATCTCAGCGGCAATTCCCTCTCTGGGTCTCTTCCCGATGCCCTGTCTGAAATGACAAGCCTCCTTGAAGTGTGAGTTGCTCCTTCCATGTGTGCTTGGCCATTGAAAAGCAGAGAGGCAGAGCAGGGAGGCATAGAATCCATGTTTGACCATCCTGTCCCCCTCTTCATTCACACCTAGCTCACTCTCCTTCTCCACCTTCCTCCCGGCCCCTCCCATCTCCCGTGGTATCGCCTGTTTGCGTGCCACAGGTCACTGGGACGATTTTTGAGGCGCCGAACAAATCCTCTCCCATGGTTTCGCCTGTCTGCGTGCGTGCCACAGGTCACTGGCAAACAATCAGTTGTCAGGCGACGTGGACAATGCAATAGTCACCTTCACCACTCTCACTGCGCTGTGCGTCTCCCCTTCCTCTCACTCCCCAAAAAAAAGCCACTTCCATCGCATGCTCTGATGTGTGTCTGCTCTTCCTCTCACTCCACTCAAATACCACTCCCACCGCATGCTGTGGTGTGTGTCCGCTATGGGCTGGGCTCACGCTGGGAAGAGGGAAGGAGGGAGGGAGCAGTTGGGTAGTGGGGGGTTCGGTACGGCTGGTCTCAACTGATGCATGTCGCTAGCTAGTGTGTGGGGCGATCAGTCTCTGCCACACAGTATGCCACACAGTGAGGGCGATCAGTCTCTGCCACACCCCCTCACTGCTGTCCCAGTATGCTGCTGCTGTGTTGTGCTGTGCCGTGTTGCACTGTGATGTGCTGCGCTGCACTGCTCTGTTTATGCTCTGTTGGTTACTGTTGATCACATGCATAAGAAACAAGCTTATGTATAAGTCTATGGGAAAATGCGTCCAATTTCCAACCCACCCCTCCCCCTTCTCCCCACCCTCCTCTCACCCTCCACACTTCCTTCCTTTCCCACATCCCCTCTTTCTCCCCTTATTTTCCCTCACTCCCCTTCCCCATTCTGTCTGTGTCCCTCCCTCCAATCTCGCGCCCTTACCTTATGTTCTGTGTTGTGTTTGTAGATGTTTGAGATGTCTCAAAACTTTGTGCGCTGTTCTCCCATCCTTCCATCTCCTCATCTCTCTCATCCCACCAGAGACATTTCAAACAATGATTTCTCAGGAACCCTTACAGCAAGAATAAAAGACCTCAACGGATTGCGAGTGCTGTAAGTTAACCCAAGCACTCAGTGAAGTATCACTGTTCAGTTCAAAATGCACACCAGCACCAGCACCAACACCAGCACCAACACCAGCAGCACCACCAGCACCACCACCAGCACCAGCACCAGCAGAAACAACAGCACCAGCACCAGCACCACCACCAGCACCAGCAGCAACAACAGCACCAGCACCAGCACCAGCACCAGCACCAGCACCAGCACCAACCAGCACCAACACCAGCACCCTTGCACCATGAACCCAGCATGACTCGAGTTCTGTGCCGTGCTTGCATTGTCCGTCTTGTTTCCATCTTGCATATAAGAGCCACTGCAGTGTTCTCTTCTGAAGAATCAAATCAGATATCCGCTTCGTCTAGTCTTCATAAGCCTCAACGCCAGAAATGCTATCCCCAGCAACAATGACCACACTCCCTCCATTATCATATCCGGCTGAAATTCTGCTCTGATTCTGATCCGCCCCACCAATCTATGACCCTTTATCACACTCCCTGTCTCTCCTCCCACCCCCTCCCACCCTTACACGTTCCCCGTCACCTCCTTTCTCACGCACTTACCTCTCAATCCCTCCTCACCTGCCCCCTAACTTGCCTCTTGCTTCAGTCGTGCGGCTGGGAGTGGGATCCAAGGCACGCTTCCTGGAGAAATCAGTACTCTCACTAGCCTCTCGCTGCTGTAAGCGCCTCACTCGCTTCTCCCATAATGCCTCTATCTCCAAAAAGGGTTGTTCCTGCATGGCATGGCATGGCCGGGCAAGGCAGAGCATGCATGGTATGTCATGGCAGGGCATTGGCATAGAATGGGCATGGCATGGCAGGCGAAGCAGAGCATGTTATGGCAGGGCATGGCATGGGCCCTAGGGGTGCTCATGTTTCGAAGTGCCGTCATGTGGATGCATGTTGCAGCTATAACCCCTTTCGCACTGCATCCTTCTCAACCACATTTTCATCACATTTTCATCACATTTTCATAGACTGTACTCCTCATCTGCCCACATTCTGGCACCAAATCCCCCTGTGTGTTTTGAGTCGACTCAAAACACTTCTGGCACCAAATCCCCCTTTCTCCTGTCCCCCCCCCCCTGTGCCTTTCCCTGCTTCTGGCATGACCATATGTACGCATGGATTTATATTGATCGCATCGTGTCTCATGGCAAGACATGTTATACGTGGATGGCTTGGCATGGAATGGTATGGGAAGGCATGATACGGCATGGCATGGCCTGGAGTGGCATGCCATTGCTTGGCATGGCGTGGTATGGCATGGAATGGCATGGCATGGCATGGCAGGGATGTTTACAACAATGAGATAGCAGGGCCACTCCCAAGCTTGGACAATATGGCTGGCCTTCGATACCTGTTAGTGCTGCCACTGCTTTCTTGCTTTCTTTCTCCTCTCCCACTCCTCCCCTCATCCTTCCTTCCTCTCTCCCTCCTCTCTCCTCCTCTCCTACTCCCCCTTCCTCTCTCCCTCCCCTCGAATGGTCCTTGTATTGACAAGCAATGGTTGCACAGCACTATATCATGTGACAGATTAACAAGCAAAGGAAGGTGCTCCTCTTTTTCTCCTCCCTCTCTCCCCTCAATACTTTTGTTCCCACTGAGGCCCCTGGCTCTTGGAATGTTTGTCTTTATGCATTGTTTCGACTCGTTGTCTCGTGGTCTAGACCATCTGCCAGCACCATTCTCTCTTCATGCACATTTTTTATTCCCCTCCCCTTCTCCTTGTGACTCATCATAGTCGCTGTAATCAACCACATATTTCTCCCTACTTTTCCAATCAGCAACCTCGGAAGGAACCTCATTGACGAAATTTACTTGGATCCAATATCTGCTCTTACATCCCTCTCCTACCTGTGAGCACCTTCCCTTCACTCAGCGCTAGCTACAAGCACCTTCTAACATTGCCACTTCCTTGCACCGCACTGAACCTCACAGTGCCGCATGCCAATAGGCTGCCCGCCACCTGTATTCAGCATGCCGTGCCGCTGCCTGCCAGCATGCATGCTCTGGGTGGCCTCTCTCTCACCGCCTCTCTCTCACCGCCTCTCTCTCACCGCCTCTCTCTCACCGCCCCTCTCTCACCGCCCCTGACTGCCTCTTTGCACTGCAATTCGCAACTTTCTTGTGTTAATTTGCTTCTCAATCCTAATGCTTTGCAAGTTCTATACCTTGCCTCTCACAACCATTTCAACGCTCATACACAATATGCTGCTGCGCATGCTATGTCTGCCCTCTCCCTTACTTCCAAACCACCACGTCCCGTCCTACCAACCTCTCCACACCATCCATCCGTTGTCCATCCGTCCCACCACTCTTAACCCATCCCCCCTGCCTCTCCCCCACCGCCCCATTTTGCATCCTGACCGCTGGCAGTGGCCTGTCACAGGCCGGTTTGACCGGCTCCCCTCCCAACTTCCTCTTCCAACTTGTTAACCTTGAGGAAATGTGAGGCCTGCCTCTGCTCTTGCTGTGAGGCCTGCCTCTGCTCTTGCTGTGAGGCCTGCCTCTGCTCTTGCTGTGAGGCCTGCCTCTGCTCTTGCTGTGAGGCCTGCCTCTGCTCTTGCTGTGAGGCCTGCCTCTGCTCTTGCTGTGAGGCCTGCCTCTGCTCTTGCTGTGAGGCCTGCCTCTGCTCTTGCTGTACGGCCTGCCTCTGCTCTTGCTGTGAGGCCTGCCTCTGCTCTTGCTGTGAGGCCTGCCTCTGCTCTTGCTGTGAGGCCTGCCTCTGCTCTTGCTGTGAGGCCTGCCTCTGCTCTTGCTGTGAGGCCTGCCTCTGCTCTTGCTGTGAGGCCTGCCTCTGCTCTTGCTGTGAGGCCTGCCTCTGCTCTTGCTGTGAGGCCTGCCTCTGCTCTTGCTGTGAGGCCTGCCTCTGCTCTTGCTGTGAGGCCTGCCTCTGCTCTTGCTGTGAGGCCTGCCTCTGCTCTTGCTGTGAGGCCTGCCTCTGCTCTTGCAGTGAGGCCTGCCTCTGCTCTTAAAGTGAGGCCTGCCTCTGCTCTTGCTGTGAGGCCTGCCTCTGCTCTTGCTGTGAGGCCTGCCTCTGCTCTTGCTGTGAGGCCTGCCTCTGCTCTTGCTGTGAGGCCTGCCTCTGCTCTTGCTGTGAGGCCTGCCTCTGCTCTTGCTGTGAGGCCTGCCTCTGCTCTTGCTGTGAGGCCTGCCTCTGCTCTTGCTGTGAGGCCTGCCTCTGCTCTTGCTGTGAGGCCTGCCTCTGCTCTTGCTGTGAGGCCTGCCTCTGCTCTTGCTGTGAGGCCTGCCTCTGCTCTTGTTGTAAGGCCTGCCTCTGCTCTTGTTGTAAGGCCTGCTCCTCCTACTGTCGGCCAATTTCCCTTTCTGTGGATTGAACATCATCGCAATGCCTGCGTGTTGGGATGGAAGCTTCAGGATTCCATTGCATTGCAAAGCCAGTGTTGGCGCATCTCAAAGCTGGCTTGGCAGCGTTAGGATGTGACCCACCCATCCACCACCACCACCATCTGCAAGTTGTCATTCTATCTCCCCCTCTCTCCCTCTGCCTTCCCCTCTCTGCCTCTCACTCATCTGTCGTCCCCATCACAGTGATCTTACCAACAACTGGTTTTCCAGCTCCATTCCCGATTTCCTGATCAACCTCCCGCTGATCAAGTCACTGTAAGCAAGCCAGCACCACTCTCAGGACTAAAGTATAGATTGCACGCAGAAGGATCACACGAGCCTGCGCCCTCTCAAGGGCTGCCCCTACCGTAGCTGTCCAGGATCCAACCAAGTATGCTGAGAAAGTTGACAGGTTTCCACTCCCCACTCCGTACCTAATGGCCAGTGATGGAAGCTTTGGGATACCTTCCCAACCCTCTCCTCCCTGTAGTCTCCAGATGCCCTGACTCACTCTGTAGTGC